TGCCGCCAACGCCTGGCTCGGATCCCACACTGTGGTGGGAATGCCATAAAGGCCACATTAAAAAGGAGCCATAGCAGCCTGACTCTCAGACCGCCTCCAGTGAAGGAGGAGGTCCAAGGTACCCCGTCAGTTGGCAACCTTCTAAGCCACGGCTTTTAGCGCACCGTGATAGCTTCAAGCGCGTCAGATTGTTTATAGTGAGGAGAAAGTGCGCTGAGTCGTCGACCTCACTCTCCCTTCCCATCCCCACACCCCAGCCGCTGTCCAAGCCGGTCAGAAGACTGGAGTGGGGAATGGGCGCGGTGGCTGACATGGTCGACTGACCATGTCTGCGCGCGCCACAGCACGACCTGGCCCCCCATACACACACAAACACCAGGATTTCACACAACGGGGGTTGAACGGCGTGTCTCTCACTTGCGTGAGAGGGCCGTGAAAGGTGCTGTTTCAGCTCGTCCCCAGCCCACCAGTCCGCCACTACACACAACACACACACACACACAACGCGACGAACTGCGTGAACCGAGAGCGGGCCTCAATCAGCAACCTTCCCATCCACGACGCTTGACGTGTCGGGATAGCCTCGGACTCAAGTCACCCGTGCAGCCGAAGCCGCATGGGGACCGAGTCGAGATGCACACTTCCCACTTGCGTAGGAGGTGGCGGTTGGGTGCATGAGGTGTGGGAGTGTTGATTTCTGGTGGGGTGATGGTGGTGGTGGAGGAGGTAGGGAGTGAGTGAATGTGTGGTGTGGCCGGCGGTTGTCTACCGCGGGTCGTCGTGGATGCGCATGTGGCCGAATAGGCTCATGCGATGCCTGAAAGTGCGAGGACAGTGTGGGCAGTTGAGACGAGCTTGATGGGTATAGGTGGGTGCTCCAGGCACTGGTTCGCCAGTCTCTGTGCGATGGATTCGCAAGTGACCGACCACTACTACTACTACTACTACTGCTACTACTACTACTACTACTACTACTACTACTACTACTACTACTACTACTACTACTACTACTACTACTACTACTACTACTACGACTACTACTACTACTACTACTACTACTACTACTACTACTTCTACCACTATGAGTCCAAACAATGTTATTACTTCTGTTTTTCAGTATAAAAACAGAAGCTAAACTATCCTTCCCAATACACAGCATATTAAACGAGCTAGTTTAACTTTGGTTATTTCGGTTACAATTACTATCACACTTTCTACAAAGATCGTGTTATAACTATTGATTCCGGAGTTCAAAGTGAATTGGCAAAATGGAGGCTTATACAGTCTATTGCTCCAAACCTCAATAAAACAATTCCCTCTTTGCGGAAAACCGACAAAGGGTAAAATGATCGTGCCCGTGCTCATAACAACACTCAGCTTGCCCGAATATGCAGGTATTGGTAGAAATGCAGTGTTCTACACACCCAACAACGTATCGTGTAAGAAGCCTCCACAAAACGCATTTTTTATAACAGACGAACAAACGATTCTCTGTCAAAGTTGATTTATTCTTCAAAGACTAGTTAACGATTTCAGTGAGGGCGAACTTGCGGAACCAATTAACCTTTTGAATGCTAAATACGAAACATGGCCCCTCTAGTAAATTTAGTCCACCTGCGGCTATCCAGTTTTTTACAAATGGAGAAAGACCGAATTCATCTGTGCGTAATTTTTGGAGAAAATGTTTCCTCAAACAGTTTCTACTGAACTCCTTTAAGGATTTCGACTAACTCCGACAGGATCGAGGCGACCTTTTCCACCGAATGCAACACGTAAAGAATTAATTTTCTTTCGGTGGATTCGCTGTTATAACTGCTGATTACGAAGTGCAAAATAACTTTCAGTTTCAGTTTTAGTTTATTTGAAGGAAATATAGGTGTTGAACCTTTGAACTCCCTATTTGTAACAAGGGAGCGAAATATATCAAAAAGTTGAAATGGAAGCTTCAAACAGCAACAGAGTTTCTTCAGATTGGCAAAGTTTTCGAAACCAGACAGATAAACGAATTGTCCCAAGAGTTAAAAACATTAACGTTACCAAGTGTGCTGTTCAGTAGTCTGTCTATGGATAGTTGGTGCTATCTCAGTTTCTGAGGGAGACGAATTAGATGCCAACATACATTCAACAGGCATTGGAAAATAATAAAAAAAAACATTACTGAAATACGAGAAGTAACATAACAACATTAATAAACTGTTCGAACGAAATGCTAGACGTTGTCGGTCAGGTGGCATTATGACGTTTGGTGGCACACTGGTCCAACTTGCGCTTAAAAGCCTCGACGGAGGTGGACATGACGACATTTGTAGGCAGAGCATTCCAGGCCTCAATCACTCTGTTTGAAAAGAAGAACTTCCGAATGTCCAGCTTGGTGCCAGTTACGCGTAGCTTAAGTGGATGACCTCGGAGGTTCGTTGTGGTCGCTAATTCAAAGAAATCAGCAGGTACGAGACAGCAGTCGTGGCCGCGCAGTATACGGAATGTTTGTATAAGGTCGCCTCTTAGCTGTCTTTAACTCAGTGGAAAAAGGCCCGGATTGGACAATCGCGTTTCATAGAGTAGTGAACCCTGTCCACTTACGAGTTTTGTTGCCCGCCTTTGGACTTTCACAAGGATGCTGAGATCTTTAGAGGTCCAGAGTTTCCACGCTTGAATAGCGAACTCTAGCTGTGGCCGTACGAAAGTCCGAAAGACTTAAAGGTATCAGTCCTCATCGAAGGTAGAGAAAGCTCTCTTGACAAGATAAAGGACTGACATCGCAGCCTTGGCTACCTTGGAGCAGTGGAGCGACGGTTTCAGAGAAGCCGTTACCCACACACCCAAGTCCTTCTGGGCGTCTACCTCCTGCAGTGGTACGCCATTTAGGTAGTAAACCCTCCGGCCTTGAGATCGGGTCCTGCCGACTCGCAAAACATTGCACTTAATCACATTAAACGGCAAAAGCCAGTCCTGTGACCATTTCTCGAGTCGGGTCAGGTCTGCCTGCAAGCGCTCTTCGTCCAATTCAGTTCGGATGACGCTCCAAAGTTTATCATCATCAGCGAACATGGCGACATCACAATTCAGTTCACTGACGCAGTCGTTGATACATGCAATGAATAAGGTAGGGCTAAGAACGGAGCCTTTTGGAACACCGCTTTCAACCGCTACCTCCGTCGACTGCCTGTCACTGACGTGGACGATTTGAGAGCGACCGATCAAGAAACTTTGTATCCCCCTCAGGAGATTACCCCTTATGCCTATCCGACTTAATTTGTACAGGAGTCGCTGATGTGGTACACTGTCGAATGCTTTCTTAAAGTCGACGTAGACTGCGTGCACTGCATTGCCGCCATCGACTGCCCGGGTCCAGCGATCTAAACAATAAAGTAGATTTGTCACACATGATCCGCCTCCACGAAATCCGTGCTGGGCATCGCATAGCAGATTATGCGCTTCTAGGAAGTGCATTATTTATCGCTTAATTATTTTTTCCATAATTTTGCAGCAAATTGAAGTAAGGCTGATTGGTCTGTAGTTGTTTGCTAAGACCTTGCTGCTGCCTTTATAAATTGGCGTGATCCGCGCGGATTTCCAATCTGGGGGCAAGTAGCCTGCTTCGAATGAAGCTTGGAAGGGCATGGACAGCGGTTTAGATACTTCTCCAGCAAGCTCCTTCAACAATTTCGGCGGTATGTCATCCGGCCCAGGTGATTTGGACTCATTCAGCGTCAACAGTTCTTTGCAAACAATAGCTTCGGCGAAAGAGACGTGCTCGATTGTTGGCCCGTCCACTATGTCGCAGTCGGGAGGGAGAAATGTGCTCTCCTTCGTAAAGATGGACTTAAAAATAGGGAAAGATGCTCTGCCTTTTCCCTGTCTTCACTCAGTTCTAGGTCATTACTAGTTTTCCATAGCGGGATTGGGTCTCTGTTTCGTGTGCTTCTTCTTTTGTAACCATAGAACAACTTGGGATTTCCCGCGGCTCGATTCAGTAGGTCATTCCCGAAAGTACGCCGCGTCCCGAGGATTAACCTCCTTACTAGGTTCCTCTGTGCTTTGTACGCATTTATCGACACAGAGCTCCTATCCGAGAGGAATTTTCTCCATAACCTCCGCTTTTTATTCACTTCTTTTTTTAAAGCTTGTGTTAGCCACGGGGGTCTGCTGTTCAGTTTCTTCTGTGAAATAGGGCAGTGGTCTCTGAGAAGAACGTGCAGTAACCCACTTACCCAGTCCCAATCCTTGATTATATCACCCGGAAAAATCTGATTCCCAGTTTATGGTGTTTAGTTCAGTTTTCATTTTGACATAGTCATCGCGCCAAATGTTCCTT